TGTGGGGGGTTTTTTGGTTTGGTTTGGTGTTTTTGTTTTGTTTTGTTTTTTTGCCAGAGTGTTTTGGCCTTCCATGCCTGTAATACTCTCATGGGCTTTTCAGCCAGGAACTTTCAACACCAATGTCCAACCTTGAAGGAAAGGAAAGAGATTGGAGATTTACACAACCATTGGCCGATGATCATGCTTGTGCGATAAAGCCTCCATAAACATTGAGGGCAGGGTTGTAAGAGCTTCCAGGTTGCCGAACACTTGGAAGTAATGGGAAAATGGATCACCTTGAGAGGACATTGAAGTTCTTAAGCCCTTCCCTGAGTCCTTGCCCTGTGCATCTTGCCCATCTGGCTGTTCCTGAATTGTGTACTTCATCACAAGCTGGTAATCTAATGAGTTCTGCAAAAGCTCTAGCAAATGGTAGAGCCCAAGGATTGGGTAATTGGAACTCCCAACTTATGTCCCTTCAGTTAAAATTCAAGTGACCACCTGGACTTTGTTCTCTGGGGTGGAGAGCAGTCTTCTGGGACAGAGCCCTTAACCTGTGGAGTCTGATGCTGTCTCCAGGTAGGCAGTCTGGATTGAGTTATACTGCAGGACACTGAGTTAGTGTCTACAGAGATTTGAAGAATTGCTTTTTTTTATTTTTTTGAGGTGGTTGGGGACTACAAATTGCTCACAAAGTGTTCTGTGTTGAATGAGAGTGTAGAGAAAAGCAGTTTGCTTTTCCTTGTCAATAAGCAAGTGCATACATTAAGACATTTAAAAAAACCTAAGATGATAGAAATGCAGAAAAATAGGCTTTTCAGCAGAAATGATGATACAAATTGTAACTTCACTTACCTAAAATATCATTTTTAATGAAGAATGAGTGCAAAATTATATTTCACAAATTAACTTAATCACTGAATTTTTTTAATTGGGGGAAGAAAATATTTTTATGGAGGGCAATATTTCATATAAATTAGTATTTTTGTGTACTACATAGGCAAACTGAAAATATATCCAGCTACTTAATTGGCATTAATATTTACTAGAGAATATCTATAGTTGACCTGAGTAAGATAATGGAAATTTGTCTATGAATATCACAAGCTTTTCTTTATTCCTGTTGAGAAAATTCACCTTCCCTATGAGTAAAAATCTGAAGAAAAAAATGCAAGAAATGAAAAACATAAAATAAATCAGGAAAATAGTAGTTCTTTTTGTCTACATAACTGTAACTACTTAGGTTTTCAATACAATTCTTTTTTTTCCCTTTTATTTTCTTTTTTTAACTTTTATTTAATAAATATAAATTTCCAAAGTACAGCTTATGGATTACAATGGCTTCCCCCCCATAACTTCCCTCCCACCCCCAACCCTCCCCTCTCCTACCCCCTCTCCCATTCCATTCACATCAAGATTCTTTTTTTTTTTTTTTTTTTTTTTGGACAGGCAGAGTTAGACAGTGAGAGAGAGACAGAGAGAAAGGTCTTCTTTTTTCCATTGGTTCACCCCGCAAATGGCTGCTACAGCCGGTGCGCTGTGCTGATCCAAAGCCAGGAGCCAAGTGCTTCTTCCTGGTCTCCCATGCGGGTGCAGGGCCCAAGCACTTGGGCCATCCTCCACTGCCTTCCTGGGCCACTGCAGAGAGCTGGACTGGAAGAGGAGCAATCGGGACAGAACCAGTGCCCAACCGGGACTAGAATCTGGGGTTCCAGCACCGCAGGCAGAGGATTAGCCAAGTGAGCCGCAGTGCTGGCCAAGATTCATTTTCAATTATCTTCATATACAGAAGATCAATTTAGCATATATTAACTAAAGATTTCAACAGTTTGCACCCACACAGAAACACAAAATGTAAAATACTGTTTGAGTACTAGTTATAGCATTAATTCACAATGTACAACACATTAAGGACAGAGATCCTACATGAGGAGTAAGTGCACAGTGACTCCTGTTGTTGACTTAACAAATTGACACTCTTGTTTATGGCATCAGTAATCACCCTAGGCTTTTGTCATGAGTCACCAAGGCTATGGAAGTCTTTTGAGTTTGCCGACTCTGATCTTATTTAGACCAGGTCATAGTCAAAGTGGAAGTTCTCTCCTCCCTTCAGAGAAAGGTACCTGCTTCTCAGGTTTTCAATACAATTCTAAATAAATTGGTAAAAGATTTATTGCATGGGCCAGTCTTGTGGCATAGTAGGTTAAACAGTCGCCTGGAATGTCGACATCCCATATTGGCACTAGTTCAAGTCCCATCTGCTCCACTTCCACTCCAGCTCCCTGCTTAATGTGCCTGAGAAAGCAACAGAACATGGCTCAAGGGTTTGGGTCCCTGGCACCTACATGGGAGACTGGGCTGGAGTTCCCGCCTCCAGATTTCAGCCTGACCCAGCATTGGCTGTTGCAGGCATTTGGGGAATGAACCACCAGATGGAAGATATCTCTCACTTTCTCTCTCTCTCTCTCGCTCTCTCTCTCTCTCCCTCCTTCTCTTTGTAATTCTGCCTTTCAAATAAAATAAATAAAAAACTTTAAAAATGGTTGTCATACCAAAAAAAATTTATTTCACAGCTATAACATGTTCCTCTTCGATGTAAAATGGAATCATTGTTTATCTTAAAAGTAAATATAAATAGAAGACAATAGTCTCAAGATTCTTCATGATAATGGTAAGACATACCACCTTTTTCAAGTGCTAACCATTTTCTCAGCATTATACTAGGTAATTTACATATATTAAATTCATTTATACCATGACAAATACTATGTATCATTTATTATACCTATTTTTCAGATGAGAAAATTGCTGCCAAGATGTTTTATCATTCTCCCAAGTGATCCTCAATCCTGCCTCCTTGCTTTTGAAACACCACCACATGAAAAAAATCCTTATCTTACACTCAAGCAATCATATTGACGTATGTATTCTAAAAATTTGAATCTAATTTAGAATATTTTATATTCCTATAATATTGTTAAAACTAGAAATATCTCAGACTTTTATTTTTATAGAATAATATATTTTATTAGTATCAACAATAACTAAATGGAATTTAACAGAATCAAAATTTAATCAAACATTAGTATCTTTATTTTATTTTAATGTCATACTAGATCATTATGTTTAGAATTGGAGAATTAAATTATACAATGGAAGCCAACTTCGAGGACATTAAAGTGGTTGCCAGGTAATGAGCCAAAGAATGAAAAAAAGGTGGATTTTCTAAGTGAAAAAAAAATGAAAAAAATTCTGAGAAGTAAAAATATCCTGAACTGTCATGAATTACTGCGTAAAAAGGCTTATTTTACCTATAAATCTCTAGGGAGAAAAATAATGATTCATATGAAGGCGTTTCCATGATCAGTTTTCCAGTTTTTTTCATTTCCAAGTGAAGAAAAATAAATACTTGAATAAGAGGTTTAAAACTGAAAAAATATTAGCCCAGAACAAAACATGTTTATACCCTGTTAAATAAGACAGTAATTTTGACAACAGAGATACATCTAGCCATAGAATTCCCTTTTCAGAATTACTTTAAAAAAATGAATTTTTAACCTTTAAGATTAATTTAACTTTTATTTAAAAATTTTTCGTTTTCCCTTCAGGGATGTTAACTATTAGCTTATGCCTTTGAATGTGTATCTACAGAAAATAATAATTGTTTTAATTCAAATTTTCTCTCCAAAGGTAATTATTTTTGGTAGCAATCAGAATTGACTTTTCCTTAGCAGGGGTGGGAAACTTTTTGTTGTCAAGGCCATGTGCATATTAATAACATCATTCATGGGCCATGCAAAATTATCAACTTACGAATTAGCCTGCAAAACACTTAAAAAGTTTTTTTTGAAAGTTTTAAAAAATTTCAATTTTTTTTAGCAAAAATAGCCTGCTCTAGATTTAATGAATTTCAAGTTCCACCTACAGTTACCTTGGCAGAGCTAGATCAAATTATTTCTCTGACCTTATAAAGCCTGCAGGTCGGGCGTTCCCCAGCCCTGCCTACATGGAAGAAGTGAGGAACATCCTGAATCCCACATTCCAGAAACGCTGTTAGTCTAAAATGTCCCTAACCCCTCTGCAATTGCCACTAGGTGGAAGTCAAGCCGCTGCCGGGACGCCCACTGTTGCTACTGTCCCAGGGTGGGCTTTGTGGGAACAAGAGAGTCCTCACCTGCCTCACTGCCACGTGCAGGCCCTGGACCTTCTCAGATGCCCACGAAGATGCTGACAGCTGTACTGACCTTCAGCCTACCACCTCTCTGAGTCCGAGCCTCTACCGGGAATGTGAATGAAAAGAGTGAGCATATCACAAGTGAAGCCAACCTCCTGATGACCAGAGCGTTCCAATGTTTCTAAATCATCCTGAAGACTAGCCACATAATCAGTGTGGCAAGTAAGTTTTCTCTTCATCCTTTTTACCCACGTAATCGAACAGCTCAACAGCTTTTGCATGTGCTCCTCATTCTAATAGCCTATCCCCATACTTCAGATATCAAGGGTCCATTCAAGAACACCCAGATTTAGGGCCGGCGCAGCGGCTCACTAGGCTAATCCTCCACCTTGCGGAGCTGGCACACCTGGTTCTAGTCCCAGTCGGGGCGCAGGATTCTGTCCCGGTTGCCCCTCTTCCAGGCCAGCTCTCTGCTGTGGTCCGGGAGTACAGTGGAGGATGGCCCAAGTGCTTGGGCCCTGCACCCCATGGGAGACCAGGATAAGTACCTGGCTCCTGCCATCGGATCAGCGCAGTGTGCCGGCTGCAGCGCGTGGGCTGCGGCGGCAATTGGAGGGTGAACCAATGGCAAAGGAAGACCTTTCTCTCTGTCTCTCTCTCTCACTGTCCACTCTGCCTGTCAGAAAATTTAAAAAAAAAAGAACACCCAAATTTATATTTCTGCCCATACAGAGGTAGACATATTGTCCAGGAGGCAGGTCCTGGGGAAGGCTACTCACTGTATCCATCGTTGGAAGTCACTCAGAGTGAAATTTCTGTACAAAGCAGACCTAAGACTGGACAAGCAGGTATGATCATGAACGAGGGGAAGTGGAGGAGACTGACTGCAATCAGCACTTGAGTCTTGACCATGATCACCAGGGCAGGGTCTGCTCAGTCCAGGTGAGCAGTTCACGGCTCAATAATTCAAGCTGTCCTTTGGTTTAGCTTTCACGAATAAAACAGAGAGAATTATTGAATAAATACTGGATCGATAGTATTCAATGAGATCTATTTACAATTATACTTAGTATATAGATAACTCAAGCATCAAATATATATACATGTATATATACATACTCCCAAACTCCAGTTCATATCCAGTGAGGTCCCAACATACATTTCTAGTCATTTCCTCCATAAAGTGGTGAAAATTCTCGACAGAACTGTGGCCTCTGTTCTGGTATATTCCATTTTCCTGGAATATACTGCTTGCACTTCCCATGGTTTTTTGATTCTGTTTTTTTCCTCTCCTCTGTACTTCAGTTCTTTATGCCATGTGATGACATTAGGACCATAAGCAGCTTCCCTGCTTAGAAAGATGATTAGTGTGTGATTCCTAGTACAATTGCTATCAGCAGACCCTTGCTCAGGCTCACTCCCTCCAACATGCTCTTTTGTTTAACAAGTGCCAGCCATTACTCACTCTGTTGACCCAGCTCCATGGCTGTGGATCCATCAGTCCAGGAGCTCTCTCCTAGGCTCCCAGCATTCTGTGGTTTGCTTCTTCAGCACCCAGGACAGGGTTGCGGTTAGAAGTAGTATCAGGCCAAGCTCCTGGGATCTGAGTCCTGGCTCTGTCTGTAGCCAGCTGTGTGGCCTTCAGAGATTTGTCACGTTTTCCTCTACTTCAGATTCCCCATCTATACAATGGGGATAATTGGATCTCACTCCTAGTAGTCTGTGAGGATTAAATCATCTAATCCATGTAAGGCACTTGGAACTGAGAGCGGCATATGGTGAGTATTTAACTAACGTTGTCTACTTTTAGTCTGCCCAATTGACATCTGCTATGCCACTAATTTGTGAAATATCTGAATGCAATACCCAGGTGGTGGTTCTAATTCCCTTAACTGGAAAAAGGAATATTTCTCACCTAACCAGCTAAATCATTGTACTATCAAGAAGACAGGACCAAAGTACCACTTTATACGTAAATTCACTGATTCAGAGAGATGACAGAACTCAACCCCCAAGTTTACATCTCTGTCTCAAGTCCCCAGCATAGATCAGTAAATTGTGGTTACAGCATCAAATCATTTCTCTCTAAATGCTGAGCTAAAAGATGGGATTTCATGATATTTTGATTCATCCAGCTTTATAGATGCTGTCAAATCATGTTATCATATGCTGATGGGCAATTAGGAACACTGTGAAGGCCTACAGAAGGGACTTCCTGGTTGAGGATGGAGAGGGTATAATGTTAGCAATGACAGGCAGTGTATGAAGGAAAAGGAAAAGCCTACTTGTTTCTTCAGAGAATTGTGTTGTCTATGTGTTCATGCTCTGAGTAAATATATTGAGGTTTGGGTTAAACCTGTGCTTTCTATGTATAGCCATCACTTGGAGTAGTAACCAGTTAAGGAAGGAAGTAGTAACCAGTTAAGTGCCTGCCTAGTGTGATGATCATTTTAATGTGTCAACTTGGCTTGGATGCAGCACTGAGATAATGGTTCAAATGCATCTGCAAGGTGCTGTAAATTAGTAAATCCTGACAATCTATACTAGGTCCAGAGAGAAAGTTACCCATATCTCCCTCGGTTTCCCTTGGGTGGATATCAGATGATAGGTGCTTTGCATTTAAAAAAGGCCAGGCTCTGGATCAGCAAGGAGGCATCCACAAACCAAAGACAGTTTGCTGAATTTACATAAAAAGCATGGATTCACCAAAACAAGGCAAGATAGAATTTAATTCTACACTTTTCAAATGACTATCAATTCTTAATATGTGGAAAAATTTAGGAAATTCTGGAAGAACTTACTGTACTCTAATTTCTATTTTGTGAAAAATTTGCATTCAACTTTAAAATACCAAGAAAAAGAGCTTCTTGAATTTCAGTTGTTTTTTAATTGTCTCCTATATCAGTAAAGAATGCATTTGGTTGCATGCACCCAACAAATGTCCTTTAAGTGGGTCACAAATTTACTGTGATTCTGCCACTCCCATCAGCTGTTAGATAAGGTGGGGACAGTCTTTAGGGCCCAGACTTCCTGGACCAAACATCTCTAACCATGAGCAGCTGGATCCAGAGTTCCTCAAAGGTCTGTTCCAGCACAGTAAGGATTGATGGGTGCTCCTCATTCCCCCAAAGGCAGCCAAAATAAAAAGGGTCATCCAGCCATGTACTGTTTTACTTAGGCATGCTACACACAGCCAACTATGCCATAGTACTTCAACACGTACTTCAACGGCTGACAGAGCACACTGCTGCCCATCAGGAGCAGAGGCCAAAGGAGCTACTGGAAGAGTTCACGATCCAAGTGCCCACAGAGCATTGCAAACAGCCCCAGATGCAACTGCAAAAGGCTGGCTGGTAAGCACACCTATAGGTCATGGACTCCAATCTCCACTTTTTTTGTGTACTTCTTGAGCAGTGTACAAGTGACTAGCAGGGGGACTTCTCTAGCTCACTGCACATCTCCGCAGATTACACTTTCATTATGATGTGAAAAATCATTGATGTTAACAATTATAACTAGATTCTACATCTGCTTTCATCATTTCAAAATATTTTAACATTACTTCTGCAAACAATAACAAAAACTAAAAGGTTTTAGTTTGTTACACAATAATATCAATTGTTATGGAAATTTTTAAAAAGATTTTATTTATTTGAGAGGTAGAGTTACAGAGAGAGAGAGGGAGAGACATAGAGAAAGTTCTTCCATCTGCTGGTTCATTCCCCAAATGGCTGCAACGGCCAAAATTGAGTCGATCCAAAGCCAGGAGCCAGGAACTTCTTCTGCGTCTCCCATGTGGGTGCCGGAGCCCAAGAACCTGGACCACCTTCTACTGCTTTCTCAGGCCACAGGCAGAGAGCTGGTTTGGAAGAGGAGCAGGCTGGACATGAACCAGTGCCTATATAGGATACTGGTACTGCAGGCAGAGGCTTAGCCTATTATGCCACGGTGCTGGCTCCTACATAAATTTTTAAATGAGAAAACTAAAAGTTTAAAATATCATCTGTTGGCCAGCGCCGCTGCTCACTAGGCTAATCCTCCACCTTGCGGAGCCGGCACACCGGGTTCTAGTCCCAGTCGGGGCACCAGATTCTGTCCCGGTTGCCCCTCTTCCAGGCCAGATCTCTGCTGTGGCCAGGGAGTGCAGTGGAGGATGGCCCAAGTACTTGGCCCTGCACCCCATGGGAGACCAGGATAAGTACCTGGCTCCCACCATCGGATCAGCGTGGTGCCCTGGCCGCAGCGCGCCGGCCGCAGCGGCCATTGGAGGGTGAACCAACGGCAAAGGAAGACCTTTCTCTCTGTCTCTCTCTCTCACTGTCCACTCTGCCTGTCAAAAAAAAATATCATCTGCTACTTATGGAAATAATTTCTCATCAGTGATTATTATGAAGAATTTTAAAGTCTTTCCAAATGATTTCATCTAGATCTTTATACAAACCAAGTGTTCATTTTCTTCTAGACTACTGTATATTTTATTATTGTCATCATAAACTCCCTGAAGAGTATCCCAGTGTGCATTTCAAACACCATTTTCTATGTGTATTGGGATTAAAGGATGAGAAACCCTGGCCTAAATAGGATCTATTTCTCCCAGGTGCTTCTGCACCATGACTCCCATAAGTTTCTTATAAGCAGATCATAAGTCTCGGTCATAATTACAGCCTCAATTCCTTGTTTGGTGACCAGCTCCACAGGTGTTAAATGAATGAATAAATAAGACAGAGAAAGATAGTTGTTTTATTTCAAAATTATCTTTAACCATCAAGCTGTTTCTTAATGGATAGGAGAAAGGCCTGAAATTTCATAGGAAAATTATTCTTTTCCTCAGAGAAACACTTTGAATTTTAAATAAGAATCCATGTTAATTAGCAAAGAAAAAGGAGCTGTTGATCAGCATCAAAGAGCAGCCATGAGGAGCAGCATCAGCACTGACCTTCTGCATGCCCCCAACTCCGCGGTTCTCCTCCTCCTGACCTTGTTATAATCGTCTATGTGGAACTTTTAAAATTCTCCCCGTTAATCTTTCTTTAAACACTAGTCTTTTTCAAAACAGGTGAGTCCTTAAAATATTGTTCCCATTAGTCAGCAACTGCCAACAAAGACAGTTCTTTCTACTGTTATGATGGTGCATCTCACAAAGGCTTACAGCCCCCTTGGTCTACTCCTTTGCTGGATGTCTACTTCTAGTCAAAATATGCCCCTGTATTTACAAGTCATTGTAAATTTAAGTATAAATAACAGTTGAAATAAAGGAGACAAAAATAGGAGAAATAAAAGACTGAAAATCAGAAAATAAGTTCTTTATGCAATAGTAGCATCGAAACATCCAGTTTTTTTGATAACCCTAAATAGATTTAGTTTCAGATGTTTCCTTGAATTTCCAAACTTCCTGGTATGCTTGCCATCTTCACCACAGTCAGAGTCAGAAATGGAAACATTCTTAGATACTTTTCCTTGTAAGAGTATATCTACCAAGCAGTGAGGTACCTTTCAGGAAAATTTGATTTTGACTTCAGATAAAAGTCCCTACAGGAATCAAAGTAAAACAACATAAAGTAACAGACATTTTAGCCGTGTGACCAAACTATTTCACCATTTCCCCTGCTACATGCACCATGCTTGAACAGTGGGAACATCTTTCATTTATTACCTGATTAATCTGCAGCTCACAAGAATCTATGGCCCAAGGTGCCTTGCAATAGTAAAAGGTAAAATGGCATTTCACCTTAGAAAAAAAACAAGTGGGCTTAACAAAGCTGTATTTACCAAACTCAATCAATTACACATTCCTTTGGTACCTGTGTGGTTAATCTGTTTTTAATTGAGCTCCACTGTTTTCATATATTTGGTAAACAAATGTGCATAGGTGCAAATATCATGATTATTTACAGCACAAATGATAGGTGGCTTGCAGGGGTTTGAGAAGAGCCATTAGAAATCCTTAAAGTTAAAAGTGTTTAATGTTCAGAACTATTTTTTCTTTATACTTTTGTTCTTGATCCCTTTTTTTTTTTTTTCTGACCATCACAAATCCAGGTGCTTAGCTCATGTAACATAACAGCTGAATGGACATACCATAGAAGTTCTTATTAAACATAAATTTTTTCTGGTTCTTATTTATTTGCCCATTAAGCAAAAAGTAATTTCACACTTGTCTAGAAAAGGTGCCTTTGACGACTTCATCGGGAAAATTTCTTACATCATCTTACTGTCAAACAATAGCTTACAATTCTCTTCATATACCAGTCTATTCTGTTCAATTTTTTCCACATAAAAAGTAGATCATAAAAAACCTGAAAACTCCTTCAACTTTTTTTTACCAGTAAATAAAATTTTTTGAAGACATTAAATAGCTAGATGTCTACTGCCCCCTCCAATTCTACGATCATCTAAGTCTGTAACCTTAAGGAAAACAACTGTAGGTATTTAGAGTTAATCCCCCCACCCAGATCTTAATTCCCCCAGACAAAGAAGAAATAATAGCATATGCATAATATGCTTCCTCTGTTGTTTGTCATCCTCAAATAGAATGAAGACATAGCCCAAATCAAGAAAGGTTAGAAACAGTTGCATCATAAGCCTAATAAATTAAATTTTGAGCATCAAGAAAATCTTAAGACTGAAAAGTGTGGACAAAGGTATTAGTCTTTCATTTTTGCTATTTTTCTTTCCATCTCTAGGAAAATGGGCAGTTACATGAGTTCTCTAGCCTGTGAATAGTTAGTGCTTTCAAAATTCCCCAAATTTCTGTTCGTTGTGGTAAATTTCACAGACTATAAATTTGTATTTGTGTAACCCATTCCACAATGCAATGAAACGGGAGCTTTTTCAAGCCAGAAGACTTTGAGAACCAGCTATTAAGCCCATGACACAGGGAAAAGCAGTGACTCTAATGCTAAATGTCTTAAAGGATGTGCCAAAAGTCTCACAGCCAGTTAGTGACCAGTGTGGGTCCAGCCCTGGTTGCCAGAGTCCAGAGTCCTAGTTCAGTGGCAGGTGCATCTCATTTCCTGCGGTTCCAGGAGCATTGGTGAGGAGGCAGCAATTGTCTTCACTCTACCATGAGAACAAGTTGTTGCATCACTTAATCAGAATGCAGACTTCCCTTTAGCAAAATCTCTCAGTGACATCTAGTGGAAAAGCCGGTCTCTATGGAGAAATTTAATTAAACTGCAGTCCCTTTATACCAGCACAAATATTGTGAGGGAAAACAACTCAACTCCTCTGACATTTTTGCAAATAGGTTTAGTGGAATCCATTCTGTTTACTTTTACTGACATTTGTTTTTCAGTCAATTATCCCCCATGGTTATTTTTTTCTTTTCATAATTTATTGCCAGCAACTTATCCATAAGAATAAATACAAGTAATTCCTTTCTTTGGTACAAGCAACAGAGCTTAAGTTAATAATAGCTGGAGAAAATAAACACTCACTATACCCCTCCTCTTTTCCTTTCCTAATAGTTCTAGTTTGCCTATAAATCAGACTGGTGGCAATATCAGAATCCAAGTAGGAAAAATTTAACCTCAAATGCATCAGGAGGTTCTCCTCACATAGCTCTAAACTTTAGAAAATGACAAACTTCACTGGATCAGCCATCTGCCACATAACTAAAAATGACAAGCGCTTTTTTTTTTTTTGCCTTCTTTCTTATACTCATCTGCCTCCAATTTTTACATGCCTGTATTTTGGAACTTTCTGAGAAATCTTGAAAAGTTCAGAGACTACATCATTAAAATTTCTAATCTTGATTTCATGAAGTTTCATTGAGTGGACATGGAAAAATTTATATTTTAGAGCCTGAAAATATGTAGGTATGAATATTTATTTGGTGCAACAGTTAAGATGCCACTTGGGATGCCTGCATCCCATATTATGGTGCCTGGGTTCCAGTCCCCATTCCACTTCCAATTACAGTTTCCTACTTATGTGCATCCTGAGAGGCAGCATGTGATGGTTCAAGTAGCTGGGGCTCTATCACCCATAACATTGACCCAGAATAAGTTCCAAACTTTTGCATTTGATCCAAATCAACCTTGGATAAAAGGACATTTGGGAAGTTCATTAGCAGATGGAAAAGATTCTTTCTCCCTCTCTCTCTCTCTTTCTCTCCCTCTCCCCTCTCTCTCCCTCTCCCTCTCCCTCTCCCTCTCTCCTCTCTCTCCTGTCTCTATGTGTGTCTCTGCTTTTCAAATTAATAAAAATAAATGATAATAAACATTTAAAAAAATATGTCATTCAGAGCAAGGCTTCCCAGACTCACATGCACACGATTCACCTGGAGATCATGTTAAAATGCAGATTCAGATTCAGTAGGTCTAGATAGGGCCTGAGATTCTCCACTCCTGACAGTCCTCAAGACTGCCACTAGACCATCATAAGCTACGCTTGAATTGAAAGGGTGTAGGAAAAGGGACTTTATGGGAACTGAAAAGACCCAAATCAAGGTTAGACTTCACTGTTGCTGGCAGTGAGACCTGCCAGGGCCCTCTATTCTCCACCTTCAGCACCCACAGCCACACCACCACCATTGGGTTGGACACACAAGGACTCACTCACCTCGTCATGTGCTTATGCTCTCCGTCAGGCAGCCCTCAGACTCGCAGGTGGACTCTTAGCCCCCACAATCCCCATTACACTCCTAGAAGGAGAGACTATGCCTTCTTTGTTCCCTGTTGCTGCTTCAAGGTCACTTTCCAATCGTTCCTTATTCCTAAAATCCCCTCATCTTGAATGTTGGTTGTCAGCTTATGAGGATACTTCAGAAAGTTTGAGGGAAAATTGAATTAAAGGTAAGTATTTGGGTGTAAAAAACCTTTGAAGTCCGGGCAATGTTTCTTCATGCGCTTTCCGTGAGCATTTCAAAGACCTCTCACAGCCCATCAGTGCTCTTCATTGCTGCTGTCACCACAAGCTCAGGCGTCCCCTCTGCCTCTTTACCCAGCCTGGCCCCTCACTCCCCTGGACGTGATCCTAGAGCTTGTTATACAGAGCAACTGCATTGTCTCCTTAGTGCTCATTACAGGCATCCCACTCTGCCGTCACTTCCTATTGTTTCACCTCATTCTCTCCACACAATTCTTCCAGCCTGCAGTCATTACTAAGTCATTCATCTTATCATCATTTCACTGTCCCTTACTCCCCCCATGTCCTCATTTACAGCCTTATCCAACCTAAATCCCATTATCAATGGCTGTTGCACACTAGTTTTGTTGTTCTTGTTTGGCAAAAGCATAACCATATTTAAATCCAAATTTCTGAGTACTGTAAGATAAACAGTGGAGAAAAATATAGCAACCAGAATAGCTGGCCTTGCTGTAAATAACCCTAAAGTGGGCCTATCTTACTGTAAATAGCTGGCCTTGCTGTAAATTACCCTAAAGTGGGCCTATCTTTCACACCATATGTCTCTTGCACATACGCTCTTCCATTCATTGGGATGCCATTTTATACACCCTTCTCTCTGCTCAGGTCCCAATATCTCTTTTCTAACCATTATATTCAGCTGATAATAGAAGCAATAAAAAAATAACCTCCATATACACCTACTAACCCTCCCATCCACATGTCTGCATTAGGAAATAGCTTTGCCTTCTTGCCTATCACTGGTCTTGAAGCAGCCAGTGCTCCTATCAAAAACCAATCACTGAATTTATGCACTAGATCAGATTCCCTCTCAGCGATCAAGGATATCACTCCACCACTTATTCAACTGAAGCCATCACGCTTTTACTCTCTGTTGAATTATTCTCATCTTCATGAAAGCACATCTCACAACTAAACAAAAAGGATCCTTTCCCTTGGGTTTACTTCTCATCAACTCCCACCTGATTTCTTTGCTCTGCAATAAGTAAAAACTCAACAGAATTCACTTTTCTCACTAACTCCAGTTCCTCCACCCAATTCCTTAAACTTCTAACCATCCTCCTTAAGCCAACCTATTCTGGATTTCAACTCCACCATGTTTTCCAAACTTTTCCCAAGATTACTAATGATCTCTACATCGCTAAATCTCAGACCTAAACTAGGAATGGGCTTGTCATGAGCATTTGACATAGTTAAACACCCCTCCTTCTAAATGTTTTCATTTGTCTTCCAGGAAACTATTCACACTGATCTGTCATCTAGCTCACTGGTCCCCTCAGCTCCATCTTTCTTCACCATTCTCCTCATGCTCCTTGAACTCTTTAAGGAAGGAATGCCCCAGGGCTCAGGCCATACCCTTCTCCTATCCCTGTAAACTCTCCTGACCATGGTGATTTACTAAGCCCCATGGCTGCGAATATCATCCATGTGCCAATCACTTTCATATTTATATCTCCGGTACAAACACGTCTCCCAAACTCCAGATTTATCTTTCGAACCAGCTTACATCTCCCACCTACTGGCACCTTGGCTATGTCTCAAGAATGGCCCCACCTTAGAAACCCTAAACTGGGCTGTTCTTGATGCCTGAATGTTCTCCCTGCAAACATTAATATGATTAATTCCCTCACTTTTGTCGAATCTTGCCTGAAATACCATCATTTCACAAAGACCTTGTTTACCCAGCTTTTTAATGCTACAACCTACCCCCACACCTGAGAATCTCAAAGCCTCCTACCCTGTTTTTTCCTTTTCCATAGTGCCCACCATCCTCTAACATGCTATTATTATTTATTTCTCTCTTTGTTATTATTATTGCCTTCTAGCATAGTATTTATTTTATTATTTTACACTACCCACTGGAAATTAATTGCAGGGAGGGCTAAATTTTCACCCACTTCATACACTTTTGTATCCCATACATCTAAAAGAGCTCCTGATCATAAGAAGTAATCAATAAACTTTTTAGTAAATATTAATTCCCATCTTTAAAATAAGAATAGAAAAATCTATTTCCCTGGGTTGTCATAATGATGCACAACATCAAGTAGTAGATATCCTTCCCACTTCAAGTAGATTTTTATCTCCCTTCCCAAAACAATATATAGTTTGGGGACACTCTTTTACAATATAATTAGCAAGAAATAACTGGTTCTCTCCAACAATAAAATTACTGCATTTCAGCAAACATGCTAGCAATCCAAACATAAGAGCAATGTTCATAATTTAGTGCCCTCTTCTCAAATTGAAGATAGTAGTATTTGGGTTGGCATTTTTGCACAGCTAGTTAAGTTGCTGCCTAAGACATCAGAATCCCATATGAGCACTGTTTTGAGTCACAACCATTCCACTCCACTTCTGATCCAGCTCACTGCTAATGCATCTGGAAAAGCAGTGGAAGATGATCCCAGTACTTGGGTACTTGTCTTCTATGTCAGAGACCCAGATGGAGTTCCAGGCCCCTGGCCTCAGCCTGGCCCACGCACAGCCATTGCAGCCATTAGGCCCAACAGACAAGAGATCTTTCTCTCTGTGTCCCTTTCACTCAATAACTCTGCCTTTCAAATAAATACATAAATCTTTAAAAAAAATAGTACTTCTTTTTCAAGGATTAACATCGTATTTAAGTGAATGGTGTGAGGAGCCCAGGGTAAAGGAATACAGTTAGGGAGGAAGCAAACACTTGGCAGATAGCAGAATCCACTTCAGGCTGAGAGAGTCTAAACACTGGGCCTGCACACAGCAGTAATCATCAAGTATCAACTGAATAAACGGATGCAGCAGTTAACTCTGTGAACTTGAGTAACCCCCACTTCCATGTTTTCCTGCACTTGCATGGTGGCCTCCTTCACTGAACAGGGCTGACTTGTTTCCCAGCTGCCTGCTCAGGGAATAGTACTGGTGTCTTCCAGGACTAAGTCATAAATGACCCCACTGCTTCTCCTGTGTACTCTCATTATTACTTGCTCTGTGAGGAGGCTGCTGCGAAGTCATGGGGACCCCCAAGCAGCACCACAGAAAGGGACATGTGGCAAGGCACTGAAGCTGTCTGATCATCAACTGACATCAGTTGGCAGCTAACAGGGTGAGTCCTCTGGAAGTGAACCCCACAGACCCAGGCGAGCCTTCAGATGTCTACAGTGGCTGACCAACCAACATCTCAATGGAACTTCAAAAGAGAGACCCTGATCAAGAACATGTCAGGCAAGCAGCTTCTAAATTCCAGCACCCAAGTAGCTGTGAATAAGAAAAAGGTTATTGTTTTAAGCCAATAAGTGTTAGAGTGATTATGCAACAGTAAGAAGTCTAATGCAATAAATAAATGAATGAAATGAGAGATCAAAAGATTAACCTCATATCTACTGGCTAATTAAGAAAGCTTTATAGACCAGCCAATTCAAGCACTAATTTTCAGGTATTAGGAGAGCAGGTATAGTGTGTGCTTTTCCATTAGATAAATGGAACGATTGTAAGAAGCCATAATCATGGGTAAAAGATTGTCCATTCTTGTGAACCCCAGTGGGGAAAAAGAGAAAATTCCCTAGCCAGAGAGAAGATATGACAATTGTGGATGCTCACATGCATGCGAGGGCTCAACACTTCATGTCAGTGGAATAGGGTAGGAGGAGAGCTTCTAACGGCCATGGCATTTGGAGAAAGCTGAAGTGTTTTGTGCCTCTTCTAAAGATGGACAGCATTTCTGTCAGCTGGCTCATGGAGGGTACAATGACAATAGACTAAACAGGGGTCATGTGACCTAGGCTGTCCTAAAGAGAGGGCCATCTGTGTTTCTTTCTTATAGGGTCAATCATATTATAAAAGATCTTTTTTTTCCAACTTTTATTTAATAAATATAAATTTCCAAAGTACAACTTTTGGATTATAGCAGCTTTTATAAAAGATATTATTGAGAGTGGCCATAAAAGCCAGCATCAGTTTCTTCACCCTAAGTGTGACTTGAAATTTAAGGGCCAGGGTGCCCACTCATCACTGATGGCTGGACACTCAGGGTCTGGGATCTTGGGTGAAAAACAATCCCCCAGGTCTTGCTCAATTCACAATAGCTAAGACCTGGATCCAACCCAAATGCCCATGAACAGCAGACTGGATAAAGAAATTATGGGACATGTACTCTATAGAATACTATACAGCAGTCAAAAACAATGAAATCTGGTCATTTGCAACAAGATGGAGGAATCTGGAAAACATTATGCTGAGTGAATTAAGCCAGTCCCAGGGGAAACCTGTTGAAGTGAAATGGACACTATGAGAAACAGTGACTTGATCAGCTCTTGTCCTGACTGTTGATGTACAATGTAATACTTTATCCATTTTAGTATTTTTTTGTTCTAGTTGATACTATTGGTTGAACTCTGTAATTAGCACACAATTATTCTCAGGTGTTTAAATTTTAACTGAAAAGTGATCCCTGTTAAATATAAGAGTGGGAATAAGAGAGGGAGGTGATGTACAATTTGGGACATGCTCAATTGTACTTGCCCCAAATGGTGGAGTTAGAATCATGCCAGGGGATCCCAATACAATCCCATCAAGGTGGCATGTACCAATGCCATCTCACTAGTCCCAGTGATCAATTTCAGTTCACAATTGATCACACTGATAGGTCTGAGTCAAAGGGATCACACAAACAAGACTAGTGTCTGCTAATACTAGCTGATAGAATCAAAAAGGGAGAGAACGATCCATCATGGGAAGTGAGATACACAGCAGACTCATAGAATGGCAGATGTCCTAAATAGCACTCTGGCCTCAGAATCAGCCCTTAAGGCTGAAGAGCCCATGAGGGTATTTTAGGCATAGAAAGCCAAAACACTCTGGGGGAAAAAAAAAAAAGAAGACCTAAATGAAAGATCTCTGCAAGTGAGATCCCAGTGGAAAGAATGAGGCCATCAAAGAAGGAGGTACCTTTCTCTGAAGGGAGGAGAGAACTTCCACTTTGACTATGACCTGGTCTAAATAAGATCAAAGTCAGCGAACTCAAAAGGCTTCCATAGCCTTGGCAACTCATGACTAGAGCCGAGGGAGATTACTGACGCCATAAACAAGAGTGTCAAATTGTTAAGTCAACAACAGGAGTCACTGTGTACTTACTTCTTATGTGGGATCTGTTCTTAGTGTGTTGTCCAATGTGAAGTAATGCTATAACTAGTACTGAAACAGGATTTTACACTTTGTGTTTCTGTGTGGGTGCAAACTGATGAAATCTTTACTTAATATATACTGAATCAATCTTCTGTATATAAAGATAATTGAAAATGAATCTTGATGTGAATGGAATGGGAGAGGGAGCAGGATATGGGAGGGGTGCGAGTGGAGGGAAATTATGGAGGTGGGGAGCCATTGTAATCCATAAACTGTACTTTGGAAATTTATATTTACTAAATAAAAAAAAAGAAAAACAACCCCCCACCTAGCCGCCTAAAGTGCAAATTAAAATGTCAACAA